AGTAACAGTAACAGTAGTTGCTAGGGATGCCACAATACAGTTCAGAATAGAGGACAAACATTCGTTCAGTTAACAGTAAACAGTTCAGAAAACAGTTCAATTGATCATTTAGAAAATATTCATTTTCGAATATATTTTTACAACATTGTTACTCACAGAGTTCTAGGCTACAGATAAGCTAGATCGCGTCTCCGAAAGCCAATCCTACACAGTTGCAGAATGAACACACACTAAGCTACACAGTTGGAAAAATAATAACTTAATCCCTATCTTGACTTGGTGTGGTTCTACATCAATATCCTCATTAAGATGCCTTAAACTAGGCCTAAGAATGCCTAGAATGGAATGATGATGCAAAGATGCACTTTGAAAACGTTTTCAGAATTTTCAAAAAACAGGGGTCTCGCTTGAGCGTGGGATTCCCCGCTCGAGCGAACATGCAAACAAAAGCCTCCGCTCGAGCGTAAGCTTTCACGCTCGAGCGTACTGAAAAAGTACTAGATGTGTGAAAATCATGCTCGATTGGGCGCTCGACACCCGCTCGAGCATGCGACACAAATCCTCGCTCGAGCGTCCAATACCCCGCTCGAGCGGACTGTAAAATAGTGCAAAGTGCTGGGAGCACAAATTTTACGCTCGAGTGCCAGTCACTTCACTCGAGCGTGAGTCCAAAATCTGGAAATTCCAGATTCGAACCTTAAGCTCAAAACCAAGTTTTAATGTACTAAATTCGATCATTTTGGGCCAATTTTCTGGAAAACACTTCAAAACCCACAGTATAACATGTTTCAAAGATCAATTTGAGAAATCAAAGCCCAAAGGTAGTTCAATTAAATCCAATTTCAAACCAATTTTCATGAACAAAGCTCAAACATGACATACATGAGTTTAAACCAATTCAAAGCTTCAATTACAAGCTCTAATGAAACATGGTAAAATCATGAACTATGATCAAAAGATGAACATGCATGAAGTAATCTCATGAACAATAACTTCAAAACTCAAGAATGGCAACATGCATGCATGAATTAAGCTACAATACAACATTATACGGCTCAATCTAGGCTTAGATCACTAAGGACACAAGAACCATGCATGAACCAATTCAAAAACAAGTTCAAGAAGGTGGATGTTCTACCTTAAGTCTTGTATTCAAGGTCTAGGAGCTCAATTTACAATCTATACTTCAATTCTTCAAGTTCTTCAAGCCAATTCACAAAATCAAGTTGAAATCACTCATATTCTCTCACTCTCTCATTCTAGTCGGTTGTGGCCTCTAAAATGGCTGAGGGAGAAATGTTATGTGATCAAGTGCAAGGCTCAAATGTGTTAGGTAGTGGGCCACCAGGATGGCAATATGGTAAATAGGGCAACTTATGTAATTTAGCTCATTTAAATCTAATTTAATCATACCAAATCACAATTCAGATAAGTATGCCATAAAATCACATAAATTATGATTAACACATAACACTGATCAATTTCAGATTCGGTCGCCGATAGGGCATTCAATTTGCAGTTTAAAGCATAAAACATGAACAGATAGTTTAACAGTCAACAGATAGATATGCATTCAAACTAGTACAATCAATCAATCAGTTTAGTGATTTCAGTTAATTCAGTCAATTATCATAATCAGTCTCAGTTTAGCAGTAATCAGTAGGGTTATCAGGAATCAGTAGTGAGGGTTATTACATTAAACCTTTTTCCACCGTCCCTAGGTATTCTGACCTAGAGCTCTGATACCAAATTGTGACGCCCCAAATTTTCTTTTGGAACATCATAAAATTTAAATAACAAATAACTTACTAAATAAAGATTTTAACAACTAATTAGGGGAAATTTAGATTTTCGCATAGTCAAAACTTAACAACTATTGATAAAGTCTTGACTTTAAATTAGCCAAGGTTCAATATTAGCTACAGCAGCTCCAAATTCAGCTTCAGTCCATTCTTCGACATAATCTGGCATGAAACGCCAGGACAACAAAATATATGCTATGAGTTTGGCAACACAGTAAGAAAACGGGACCAACCTACCATTCTTTTTAAGAGAAAATAATCAAATCATGACAATTAAAATAATAGTAAAATTCAATAGCATGATAAATGTACCAACCATTATAATAATTTCAAAAATTTTAATAGTTTGGGTGACACTCAAAATCTCACCAAAGAGATTTTCTTACAAACCACTAAGCATGGAACGGTTAATTTGAAACCTCCCCTTGGTCAAATATTCAAGTGTTACCAACCGTAACTACCAGGATGCCCACACCCAGAGTTATATACCCAAGTAGTGGCATCCGTGGTCTGCCCCAAGGAAACGGTCTGGCAGGGGTACGTAATCTCCCTGTGTGCTACATGCACATCCACCTTTATTCCAAAATCGAATACTGAAAAATGGTTCAAATAAGTCCCATGCCATCTTAGCGTTTCGTGACACAATTTATGTGAGAATTCTCAAAACCAGGGCTCACCTTGAACAACCGGTATTAACCGTCAACCCTTAATTTCGTACACTATTTAAAACCAAGACTTACCCTGAACAACTGGTATTTACCGTCAATTGTTAACTTTGTATATGTCGTTAATCATTTCAGCTAGGTTTGATATTAATCACTAATAATTTCAATTTTTAATTAAAAATAATATTATACAAACTCATTAAAATTTTTGACATAAAATATTACATATGTCACACAATAATAAATAATTGTACAAAATTTAAATAAACAATTTATTTAAACCATCGTATGAAATAATAATTTAGATACCAATAAATTTATAATTACACACATGCATGGATTTTTAATCTACAAGAATAGACTAGCACAATATTAAATTTTTTTAGTCCAAATAAACAATTGAAGAGATAATTTTTGATTCCTCCTTAATCTGCCAAACATCTTAGAATGTATATCTCGCAGGTAAAATTATAAGTAAATTATTTATACAACTCTAAAATTCATACAAATCTACAGAATATTCAATAAATATGTTATGGTTATTTTTCAGAAAGCATTTTCCAAAAATAAGTTATAAATAATTCTTAAAAATTTCAAAAAAGTTTATGACACAGATTTATCACATTTTCTTAAATTAATTCCATTCTTAAATTTATAAATCAATTCCATAATCTAAAAATTTATTATGAAACTAGACTTCTCAAATTTCATTTTTTTCCTTAGAAATTACTAGATTTGGTTTAATATAAATTTTTTAATGATTTTTCAAACACATGGTAAAATCTGCCTATAAATTTGCTTAAAAATCTGTATAAATTCGTACAAAACTCCGTAATTGTTACAAAAATTCATGGATGAATTAGACATCATTATAAACAACTTTTTAGAAGAAATTATCTTCAAATTTTGAGTATAAAATTATCTAAAAATTAGTATAAATTTTCTGACAAATTCAAGGACCAAATGAATTTTTCAATCCTCTCTTTAATGGTATAAACTACACATGCAAGCCTATTTTCACAATAATACCATGACTTTAAGACTATCAATATTTTCAAATATTTGATATATACATCACAAAATTTACATATATATATAAAAATTTCTATCTATAAATTAGTCATTTTATCATATGAATATAATCTGAAAATTTCAACAATTAAAAAAAAATGAGAGGGTTGAGAGGGTTTTCTTACTTAGTTGTAGGATTGAAATGGAATAGTGAAATATTAGGAAAATATGCAACCTTAATCTCCTCATCTTCTTCTAGTAAGCTTGCTCATAGGACTTCCCCCCTCTCTCTCTCTTTTTTTTTTTTTGTTTTGAGAGAGAGAGGATGAAATCTGCATGTATGGATATATGTATATATAGAGAGACTCCCCTGAGGCTCCCTCTCTCTCTTTTAGTCATTCCCTTTAGTCCCATCAAATTTTCTAGTTCCAAGGAGTATATTTGAGTAATATGCATGCAATCAAGTGTTGTTCTCTGTCGAAATATTTTTTTTGTGTGTGTGTGTGTGTATTTGTATGGGTTTCTTAAAATTGATATACTAAGATTTTTAACTGAAGTATTTGGTAAGAATAATTATCATGTTGAATCTTTATTAAAATAATTTATAAATAACAAATTTTGAACATCCACAAAATTATTATTCTTAATAATATCCTTGTTTTTGATTGAATTGGGTTAATTTAAAACTAACGTTTACACTAATATATATTTCAGATAAACTCTAGATAAGTTAATTAATTAATTAATTATTATTATTATTTTAGAATAGTTAAATGCGGGTTTTCACAGATATTTGGTTTGAGTTTTGAAAAATTAATTTCACCATTCTTTTTGAAAACTCGTTTCAGGCGGGATTTTAAATTTTGAAATTTGGCTTACTAGTCATTTCCAAGACGTCCGGCTAGTTGACCGGAGCAGTGCGATTTTTATTTTTTATTTTTTTTGCAATTGGCACTTTTTTTTAAATATTTTTTTAATAAAACAATATTTTTGAAATTTTTTATGAACGTTTAATAAATTTTTGAGTTGTGTATTTGGTTATGAATTGTAAATTTTTATATCAAATATTATATGTCACATCAAAAATTCTCCACTCAATTCAAAACTCATTCATTAAATAAATATTTTATACTCAAATCATAATTTTAAAATATACAAATTCAAAATATAACTCTTATTCTTAAATCATATTTAAAAAATTTTACCAACCGCAACTATAAATATTCAAAATCATTCTTTGACATTATACGAAGGGTTTGGTTATGGTGTGCAACTTACACCTTACACCTTATACCTTACACTTACACCTTACACTTACACCTTTTATAAAAAATTAAACCTTACACTTACACATTTTTTGAGGTTGCACACCATGTGCAACCCACTTACACCTTACACCTTACACTTACACCTTACACTTACACCTTATACTTATACTTACACCTTATACTTACACTTTTTGTGTAAGTGGCACATGGTGTGCACTTGCACACTTAAGAAAACTCCTTATACGAATTTGGAAGGTCTGTTTTTCCTTAAATTACTCAGCTTACCAAACACCGCACTGTAGAGTGGGAGAGAGAAAACTTCATCAACTGGGTTTCTTTCTCTCTCTGCTCTCTCTCAATAAGTCTCGGAATCCATTGTACTCTTTTCCCATTAAAGAAAAAGCAATATAGCCCCAAAGCCTCAATCGTTTATACCAAATCTCTCTCTCTCTCTCTAGAATCGAATCTGTATAAACCCTAATTATTGCTATTAATTTAATCGACTGATATATATGTATATATAATAATTTCTACAACGATTGTGAGATCAATTATTGTTGCTTAAACATATCGATCTGATCCATTGTTGGTTTTAATTGATCTGAGAATCGTTTGAGAGAGAGGGAGAAAAATGGTCTCGGCAAATAGGGAAATGGTGGTGTATTGCTTTGACACCCTGGTCGCTCACTACAACAGCGAACAAGCCCCTCCCCCTGCTTTCGACGAGGGCCAACAGTATGCTCTCTCTCTCTCACTTCGAATCTTACAAATGGGTCCGTGTTTTCTGCAAAATTGTGAAAATGGTGGTGATTCATTAGCTTGTTGATTGTTGTGGTTGAATTGTTTGCTCAAATTTTGACTTTTAATGATGAAAATTGTTATAAAAATTTTGACTTTTGAAGTTTGTGTTACTTTTATGAGCTTTGCTTGCGTTTAGTTACGGCATTAATAGTAATCATGCTTTGTTATGTGTTTCTATTAATGAAATTTGTATTCGTCTTTGAATTCCCATCTGGGTAGTTGTTGAAAGGAGATTATTGATGAGGGTATTATTATTGAGAGGTGGAGAATTTTTTCGTGCTTTTTTTTTTCGTTCTCTTTTTCTTGGGCAATTTTCATGTATTTTCTTGAAGACAGGGCTGGAGGTGATTTTTGTGTTTGTTTCTGTTCCGAGTAATATTTGTAGCATTTTAGCTGAAGCTTTTTTCCTTTTTTTTAAAAAAAAATTTAAATTTATTATTATAATTTTCCCTTGTTCCTGTTACGTAAAGAAGGTTCTTACACGGGACAACGAAGACGGTGTGGTTGGACAGTTTTGGAAGCAAACTATGGCAGTCTGCTATACAAGTTGTTATGCTATACAAGTTGTTATTTTATGGACTAGTGAATTTGAAGTTTGAGCAATTGTTGATGTGGGTCCCATCTATTTGTTGAGTGAAAGGAAAGGAAGGCATCTTAGACAATTTATGAGTTCACACTTAATTTTTTGTTTAGGAAAATGGGTTGAGCATGAAATTTAAATCAAGAATTTTGATACCATTTGTTTGTGGATTTCCATTTGTTTCATGAATTTTTAACTATATTTCTTGCTTCTATTTTATTTTGTCGTTCTTCAATCTTTTAACCACGATGTACCTACACTCCTCAAGATGATTTAGCATGCAATAACTTGGCAATGTCAACTTAGGCTAAGTTTGGCATCTCCTCAAAAGATAAAAAGATAAAAAGACAAAAAGTTACTAAAAAAGTTAAAAAATTATCACTATTCACCAAAAAAAAATATTAAAAAATTAATTTTCCACACAAAAGTACAATTCAGCAACCATGTATGTTTAGCGCTGTGCAGGGTTTGTTTAGAAAAATTATACAGTTTGGGTATAATTTTCAGACACTGTTGTTCGGCCTATGGGGGCCATCACGGGTCTCGTTTTAATAATCTGAACCGTTTAATGTGTAGAACTCGTCGAGTACTATATGTTTGTAAAAAATCACATTGATCGGATATCGATAACTACACGATCAAATCAGTTTGGTATAAAAAAATGAATGGTGTTATAATTAACGATTGAAAAAAAACAAATCTAATCAGATAGATGTTAGAATTTACACTCACCTACTCCTCACCTACCACACACACTCACCTACCACACACACTCACCTACTCCCCAATCCTCTCCTATATAATGAGTACCTCACCATCTGTAATTTATACATCAATCATATATCAATCAATAATACATATATTTTTTCACTATCGATATCCGATCAACGTGATTTTTTTATAGGCATGTAGTACTCGACGAGTTCTACACATTGAACGGTTCAGATTATCAAAATGGGACCCGTGATGGCCCCCACAGGCCGAACAAAACCGTCCAGTGCAATGCTCGAAAAGTAGTCAATAATTTCTTACCATCAATTCGGCTGTGCAGATTATATGGCTGTACAACACACATCTCTAATCTTCTCTTACACACTTCTTTATACAATTTTTTAATACACATTTTTTCATAAAAAGTCAAAAATTTAATCCAAACATCCATATTTTTTTCCTTAACTTTTTAGTCCAAAAAGATAAAAAATACACTTATTTAGAACATCCCAAACAGTCTCTTATGAAGTTCATGTTGCTGTCACTTCCAATATATTAGAGGTTGTGATTGTCCTTCAATTTTAACATCTTGAAATGTAATGACGCACCTTATGGTACCATATTTTTTTCTACATGTCATGCAGCTGCCAAGTTGACATCTTAATCATGTTTGGATGCTTGACACTTCTATGAGAAAGTGTCACAGCCTTTAAAACTTATTTATACTTGTTGAAATCATCATGTTGGATGAGCAATACTTGCTTCTGTTACTTGTATGCACTGCAGATAAATTATAGGCATCTTTCATGTGTTGAAATGGTTGGAAATGCTGTATTGAATATTTTTTTTTACAACTTTTGAATTTTATATTGCATTTCAATGTGTACAAATTTGCTAAGTTTTGATATGATAATAAAAGTTATGCTTTATTAGAGCATCTCCAATGATGTGCTATATGGCTTGCTATTGCTATATTTTGTCTTGAAGTTTTTAAATTTTCACTCCGATGGTAAGGCATATGACTTGATATATATTTTACCTATAGCTAAATATTGTGTCAAATGTAACACAAGTTTCACCTATTGCTAAAATCTGTGTCTCTCTCTTTCCTCTAGGGATTCACATATAGCATTTTGATTTGACATTTTGTGTGAAAAGTTGAAATTTTATACAGTATATCATTGGAGCAAAATTGCTAAAATTGTAGACAGAGCCAGTCATTAGTTCCCACCCATGGGGCGAATGGAATCCAATACATAAATTAGTTAATAAATATTTTAACATTATTCATTGCTAAATTGTAGCAATAACTAGCCCTTTACCTATCCAACCATTGGAGATGCTCTTACATGGTATCTAAAAAATAATGCAGCTATATTTAAAACCAAAGCTAATGATGTTCAATGGCTGAAGTTGCTTTTTGATTTATAATGATCTACGTGTATTTCATCTGCTGATGTACAGATAGCTTCATCTTATCCACTTAAAATATAGCTTTTTTTGTTGGTTTATGATGTTAGATGGCACTAAACCAGTGCAGCTGTTATGGTTATTTCATTCATCAGCTTTTTGTGAATGTCTACTCTTCTTTTATTGAGGTTGATACTGTTGGGCAATTTCAGCCAATTTCTAAAAGTAGGCCAATACTCATTTCATTTATGACTTGGCTTGATTGGGCAAGGGAAAATCAATCTTCCGGAGCATTGGTGCATTCGATGTGTTATTTTGCCTTACTAAGTTTGAATTGAATCCCATCCTTTGGGAAGGAAGTGGGAAGCCCCCTGCATACAAAACTACATCCTTGATACCATGGATGATACAGTACAACAGATTCTGTATGATTACGGATGGTATTGGAGCAATTTTGGGATAGGACACCCCTTTCCAGCCCCCAACATCATGACAGGGCACTTCCCTTAAAAGGCCATCCCTAGCCTGTAGCAGGAATCAAACTTTAATGGGAATTGGTATACCCAAAGGCAGGAATCAAAATTTTCAGCTCTTTACTTTCTTTGGTTCTTTTATGTAATTGTTGAATCCATATCAATTTTGTTTCTTTTCTTTTGACTTCAAATTGTTAAGGATGTATATGTTTAATATGCATTTACAAACCAGAACCATGTTGGGTCTAATGTCCTGATCTGTCTTGAATTACATTTCAGCCCATTGTTTGTCACTTGGAAGAAGGTGTTGAATGGAGGGGAGCCTCGTCTACGTGGATGCATTGGAACTCTAGAAGCTCGTGGCTTGATCAATGGATTTCGTGACTATGCACTAACAAGGTAATTTAAAAGAAAGCATTTTGCAATGACTTATTGAAAGTCTTGCTGAAAGCTTACTTTCTCCCTTTCTGTCTCTCAAGTTATATTCTTATGATAAATTCTATGTTTGAGTCCAAAATAGTTGGGGAAGGCTTTGGCACTATTGGTGTATGTTTCTTTTCTTCATCCTTTTATCTTTTCTTTTCCTTAATTCATTTTAGTTCTTGTATACATTAAGTTGTCCCAGACATTATTAACTATAATGTGAATCATGAAATGCAAACATGTATTAATGTGCTCTTTTGTGTTGAATCAATTGAATTTGTGAAGCCAAATGCGTATGCATAACGTAACTTGTATCATTTTAGATTATGTAAATTTGACAATTTCCTTGTCAGTGTAGATGGATGCATCATTAAACAGCTAATAGCCACTTCTTGTTATCATACATCTAGAATAAAAAATAAGGGAAAAAAATCAGGCAATGGCTGGCTATTGTGGCCCTTCACACCTGTAGCATGATTTATAGCAGATAGACAAAAGAACTGTATGTAGCCTTTTCAAGTCTTTGAGCTGGTTGGATGCTTTGTTTGTTTGACATGTCAACAAAAGATCAAGGTTACTTACCATTTAATTTGTGTAAATTACATTGACATTTGTTTGAAAAAAAAAACAATAAGCCTCACTAGTTTGACTTAATTACACTGACCTCCCTTTAAGTAAGGGTAAAACAAGTGTAATGAAAGCAGGCCTTGTATAGACACATACATAATTAAAGGTAAAATATATGTTGCAGTGTAAAAGAGATGGTAGGATCATTTTTAACCTTATCACTAACAATATGATTCATGGTAAAAGGGCAAAGAATTTAAACCTTAGGCGAGTAAAGGGTAATTGTGCCAAACTTGTGGAGCTTGTTGTATTTTTCTTAAACCTCAAGGGAGATTATTGTAATTTACCTTTTTAATTTCGAAAGAAGTGAGGTGTATTAGGATTCTATGTGCCTTGATAGTTTGATTCTTAAATTAATGGTTGCATCCGGCTTGTTTGTTACTCAATTTCTGTGCTGTTCATGCTACAACACAAAACAATTCTTTGTAGATTCACTTTGGCTGTATTGATGTCAATTTACTTGAAATACCCTTTTTTATTTATTTATTGAATCTCCACCCATAACCTGCATGCTCCTAAAGCTTTGGCTTATACATGTCTTTAAATCTGTAACACTTTACAGCGCTCTGAGGGACCGCCGGTTCCCCCCAATACAGGCTAAAGAATTGCCTTATTTGGAATGTACGGTCTCCATTCTGACTGATTATGAGACAGAGCTCAACTACCTTGACTGGGAGGTTTGTGCTTTCTAACTTGTTTTAATTTTTGTTTATGGGTGAGGTTATACACATTTCTTGATTGTAGCTTGCTTAACAGCAAATTACTTCATAATGACTTATTTGAGCACATTTTCCAGTCCATGTGTAGATCCAAACCATCGGACTCTATTTTTGTTTGAAATTATACATTCTTAAAATTTTTGGATATGAGATGAATCCTAAAGAAGTTAAAAATGTTTTATCTCTATAGTTGTTTCTAAATTCACCAACGTTGTTCAAATGTTTGCCTTTTATAGATTTGGTTGTTGGTATGGAAGTCAAGTGGGAGTGGGGTGAATCTATTTTTCTAGATGTTGCAATGTGGAAATAAATTTTTAAACTTACTAATACCCCTTGGATTTGTTAACTGGTTAATGAGATTCGGATTATAAGATTGTCCAACTGGGTATTAATTTAGTCTTCTTTTCTAAATTTCATGTATGGTTTCTCTCTTCATTTTGCTGTTCAAATTCTTGTTTTACTCAACTTTAATCCTGTATTAGTGGTTTTATCTTCCTCTCATATTGCCCAAAGGGGTGACCATTGATTCAATGGTAAAATCTTGACCTAATAACGTTGAGGTTATGGGTTCAAGTCACAGGGCAACCACGTTGTGCACTATGCCAAAAGTTAGGTGTGTACCCAATCTTTCCCTTCCCAAACACGTATTAATGCGTACTAATTGGGTGGCTTGGGTTTTTTTTTTTTTTTTTTCCTCATTTTTTTTTTCCTCATTGAGATTTTATAGCTTTCTTGCAGGTCGGAAAGCATGGTATAATTATTGAGTTTACTGATCCTGACTATAATACAAGGCGCAATGCCACGTATCTGCCTGAGGTGGCTGCCCATGAAGGTGAGTTTGCTGCTTTGGATATCTTAATACCACAAAACACAATTTGATGGAAAGGTATAAGAAGCCATATCAATGTGAAAGTGGGCTCTTTGACAGACCAGGTGCTATTGATTGAAAGCTTTATAAGATGATCTGTGGTATTTTTTATGTATCCATTTCTTCGTACAAGGTTCTTTTAGTATTTTATTTCCCCAAATTGAATAACATCACGAATTGGAAAGAAGAAAATTTGGGAAATTTGAGGTGTTACAAGTTATTTACTTTTATTTTTCAACTAGTTTCCTCATCAACTCGTTCTTCGTTTGGTAGGATGAAGGGTGTAGGTTGGGGGAATTGAAAGGTATGCCTGGGGGAAGTATGGTCTCTACCCCTGTTTGTTTGGTTGAGAAGGGATCAAAGGGAAGGTGAAAGGAAATTGTTAATTGTTATACCAATGTATGCATGTATTTTCAATTCATGGGTGTTTTTAGAGGAGAAATGTGCAAGGGGAACCCTCTTTTATCCTGCCCCTTTTGGGTGATCATGAAATGGTGATCCTGGAAGGAATCTTCACCCCTCAATTCGTTTCCTTCCTGCCAAACAATGGAAACTCTGGACCCTCTTGTTCTCTTTCTCCCTTACTGTCTAATAGGGATCACATGGTGAGACCCGCCACTCATCATACCTATGTGAGATGGAGGCAGAAGACACAAACCTTGATTTTATTTATGCTTGATTTTAGGATTTCTTAGTTTTTTAGGAAAAAACTACATAATTTCGTTTATTTTTGGATTTGTTTTCTATTTTTATATTTGGGACCTTACGATGAGCCTATAAATACTACGCTTATTATTTTATTGGGAGACACCATTAACATTGAATTCAGAAATTTGTTGTTGTTTTATTGAGTTAATTACACCAAGACCCCCTCACATATTAAGGAATATCACCTTACCCCCCATCATCCGTGAACACGTATTTATTGCCCCCCTCAACTATCAAAACCGTGCAAATGCCCCCCTTCTGAAGGTTGATACATTTTGGTGAGCTCCATCTTGATTATGTAACCAAACTTCTGCAGACAGCATTAAATTTTGATTGGAATAAAAGCTAGTTTCTCATGTTTTGGCAATATTTTGTTTTCAGGCTGGACAAAGATGGAAGCAATTGACTCGCTGATGCGTAAAGCGGGTTACAATGGCACCATAAACGAATCAATCAGGAAGCGTATCCGATTGACTCGTTACCAGAGTACATTATTTACTATGAATTATAGTGATTATGTTGCCTATATCAACACCACCAGAGTTGCTTCTCTCTCTGTTGGGGCGAAGCCCGGTAACCATTGATTGTTTCAATCAATTTCCATTGAAACCATTAAAACTTGTTTGGTTATATGGAGGACCAACCTCCATTAGACAAAAATGATTGGGTTGGAATTGATTTGTTTGGGTTCCAACCCACAACATAATTTGTTGTTTAACTCCTAAATTATTCTTCAAATTCATTTGATTTTGAGGAGTACACCAAAAACATGTTTCCATGCAAATCGCACCAAAATTCTCATCTGCAGCTTACTTTGGAATAGTTGCAGTGGTGTAAAACTCTATCACTTGTAATATAAAGTTCATCCTGTGTGTTTATTTATCATTTGACAACCTTTATTTCTTCTTCCTGTAAGGCTTCTAACAATTTAGTTATTTAGCTAATTTAGTACCAAAAGGCTATGATAGCCATTTTTTTTTTAACCCCTTAATGATGATAGGATGAATGGGAAATCTTGTTTACCCACCCCTCATGTGAAAGATTCTTTTGTGGGTTACAGGAGTTGTTTTTTTTAACTAAACTTAAAATCTCAACTATCCTACCAAAGCTTAACCGAGTTTGATTGATTTTACATTCTCATTCAAAGAAATCTAAGTTTAAACTGAAGTGATTTAGCTGTTCATATGAAAATCTTTTATGATTCTATGAAAAATTCTTCAATTTCTTTTCCTTCAGTTAATTTCATCTTTAAGATCCCTTTGTTTGGCCGCATGAGCGGCCGGACTGGAGTAGCTGTGGGTTCACTCACAGTATGTTTGTTGATGGTTTGAAAGAGTCGCGTGATAGTATGAGTGGCTTACTAATTCCCCTTAGTAGGGGGATTAACTTGGTTAAGAAAATCGTGAGATTATGAAAATACTGAGCAGATTGGGTCTATTTTGTCGTTTATCCAGTTGATCGAAACAAGTGGGCTCTTTGACAGACCAGGTGCTATTGATTGAAAGCTTTATAAGATGATCTGTGGTATTTTTTATGTATCCATTTCTTCGTACAAGGTTCTTTTAGTATATTATTTCCCCAAATTGAATAACATCACGAATTGGAAAGAAGAAAATTTGGGAAATTTGATGTGTTACAAGTTATTTACTTTTATTTTTCAACTACTTGTTTCCTCATCAACTCGTTCTTCATTTGGTACTCCCACATTATTATCAATTGAGTTATGTTAGAGATTTTAAATAAATTACTAATTTTTTTTTATCAAATCTCTTAAATGAGTGTAGAATTCATACACACATGTGAGAATTCATACACATGTGATACACCCACTAGAAAATTTGATAATTTATTTGGGGTTGATAGCATTTTTCTTATTAAAATAAACATATTTTTACTTAATTCTTTCCTTAATAATTCTCACATTAATAATTTTTTTACTAGCTATCCCTTCATTAACAATTCCTTTTAATTTAATTCGTCAAACGAACGTGAAGCCTTGTTTGGCATAGCCTATTTTAGTTCATATTTTTATCTTCTTATCATTTTTGGGTCACATCAATCAATGTTTTCTCTCTATTTTTTTATTTATTTTTTAATAAAAAATTAAAAAATACACTTATTTAAGACATTCCAAACGTGTCAGACTAGCATGGAGAAGATTCATTCAAAGACCATCAATAGAGGGGAGAAAGAATATTTTAGTTATTGTTTCTGAAGAACGGAAGAAAAAACTTGCAAAGTTAAATCTTCTAAAAGAAAGGAAAACAATTGCAATAGAGTTATTGGATTACCGAACTAATTACGAAAAATAATTCTGGTGCTATTAGAAATGATTTCACTCAAATTGTTTCCTTTGTCTTTTTTGTGATTGATTTGTGTACGAAAGGAAAATTTTATTTTTTTGACTTGTCCCAATTTGGATTTTAGTTTGATCAATTGGGACTCGGCATCAAAGACAAACACCATGCTTAAATTTGTTCAAGCAGTTATATAAGAAAAATTATACAATAGTTTCAAAATATTACGTAATTATATATAATTTTTTATATTTTTCAATCACTCAACACAAATAATTAATATTCTATATTTCTTCGTCAATTATATTATTATAAAATATCACGTGATCATATTTTTAGACTACCAAATAATCACTCGTTATACAATCTAATATCATTATTTCTTTCTTTCTTTTTATAAACAGTTCAATCGTGTTTTGTTGTTAATTAAAGAATAAAATTATCATCTCGGCTAACTGAAGAAGTCGGCAGTTGCGAAACAAGGCTGCCAGCCTGATGACTTCCTTTGCATATGCCGACATTCTCTCATCTCGGGTTGCAAACCCTTCTGTTGTCTGATTTACTATATTTTGTGAATCACAAAAAATTATTACCTCATCTGCTTCTGCTGCCACTGCCAGCTTTAGTCCTGCAATCAATGCTTCGCATTCTGCCTCATTGTTTGAGGCCTTGAACCCTAATCGAATAGACTGTTCCAATATCTCTCCGTCAGGAGATATTAACACTACGCCTGCCCCTGATCCTTGCCGGTTTGAGCTCCCATCGACAAATAGGTGAAAGGAGTCGCCGATGTAAATGCTGCAGGGTCTGAGTTTTTCCTTTCCTTGTTCTTTTGCCTTTGGCTGGGCTTCTCCTTGTTTGCTTGGACATCGTTCATCTTGACTCAACAGAGCCCGACGTTTGATGGCTTCTGGCGTGAATTCGGCCACGAAGTCGGCCAAAACTTGGCCCTTAATTGCTGTTCTCGGCCTGAACTCCAGGTCGTACTGTCCCAAGGCTACTGCCCATCTTGCTATTCTTCCTGTTAAGTCTCCTTGTTGTAACAAGGACTTCAGTGGGTGCTTTGTTAGCACTATAATCTTGTGCGCTTGAAAGTAATGGTTCAACTTCCTTGAAGCCATTATTAAGGCCAGCATCAATTTCTCTAGTGGTAGGTACCTTGTTTCTGCATCGGCCAAGGTTTTGCTTACATAGTAAACAACCTTTTGCTCCCCCCTTTTCTCTCGGATTAGCACTGCACTTACTGCGTGTTCTGAAACTGCGAAATACAAAAACAGTTCTTCTCTAGGTTCAGGTGTTGAGAGGACTGGAGCCATGGTCAAATATTTCTTTAGGTCGGACAAAGCGGCCTCACATTCCTCAGTCCACACGAAGTCCGTGGCCTTCTTCACCAGGTTGAAAAAGGGTTTATATTTGTTTGAGCTTCTGCTGATGAATCTGTTTAGGGCTGCGGCCCTTCCAGTTAGCATCTATATCTGTTTTGCCGACGTTGGGCTTTTCAACTCTAGGATGGCCTTGATTTGATTTGGGCTGGCCTCAATGCCTTTTCTTGTTACTAGGTATCCCAGAAACTTACCTGATCCCACTCCAAACGCGCACTTCGATGCGTTGAGTCGGAGCCGGTATGTTTTGAGTATATCAAAGACTTCTTTTAAGTCGGCAAGATGACCCTTAGTCTCCTTGGTCTTCACGACCATGTCATCGATGTAGACCTCTACTGTTCGGCCAATTAGGTGTTTGAACATCTTGGGTACCAGCCTTTGATAAGTGGCTCCTGTATTTTTCAACCTAAAAGGCATTACTCTGTAACAGTACAGACCTTTTGGGATGATGAATGCGGTTTTTTCTTCGTCTGGGGGATACATGGCGATCTGGTAGTACCCCCTGTAGGCGTCTAGAAAACTTATTCTTCCATGCCCTGAAGTGGCATCTACTAGCTGGTCAATTTTGGGCAGGGGAAAGCTGTCTTTGGGACAGGTTTTGTTGAGGCTGGTAAAGTCTACGCAGACCCTCCATTTACCGTTCTTTTTCTTTACCATCACTGTATTGGATAACCATGTTGGGTAGTGTACTTCTCTAATGGCCCTGGCCTCCATAAGTCTATCTACTTCTTCTTCTACTGCTTCGACGTGTATCAAAGTCGGTCTTCTGGCTCGCTGAATTACGGGTTTGGCCGATCTATCAACATTCAGTTTGTGGCAAGTGACCTCGGGATTAATGCCAGGCATTTCGTAAGGTGTCCAAGCGAACACCTCAATATTTGCTCTTAAAAAAGTCTCCAACTCTTTTTCTTCTTCTTCGGCTAAGCCCGAGTCAAGAAGAAAGAAGCGTTCTTCATCCCCATCCTAGACGAGGATTTTCTTTAGCGCTTCTTCGCTCTTCTCGGCTAGTTCTTTGCCAACGTCTTCTAGGACTTTCACGTCCTCATCTTTAATTTCTGCCTTTCCTGGCTCTCGAATGTTGCAGGTGGATTTCATTACTGCCATGGAGCAATTCTTTGCCTGCAGTTGATCTCCTCTGACTTCTTCAATCCCATGCTCTGTTAGGAACCGTAGTAGTTAATGCAACGTTGAGGGAATTGCCCCCATTGTATGCAACGATGGCCTTCCCAAGATGATGTTGTATGGAGAAGGCGTGTCGATCACCATGAATTCTGTCATGATCTTCTTAGTGCCGGCTTGTACTTCCAAGCTTGTTGCGCCCAATGGCTACATCGGTGTTCCATTGAAGCCGACCATCGGGCCATTGGATTGCTCCAAGTCATCAAGATGAAGGCCCAGCTCCTTGTAACATCTAACATACATGATGTCGCAAGAATTGCCTTGATCAATCAGGATGCGTTTCACTTGGCACTCCCCAACCTGGAGGGATACTACCAAGGCATCATTATGTGGGTGCTGGACTATCTCTAGGTCGGCTTCAGTAAAGGCTATCGTAGGTCCCTGGCATTCTTCTGGCCGAGGTCTTTTATGTCCGACCTGGTTCACGTGCTGTAGGTGTTTTACCTTCTGGGTCTCCCCTCGTATGTCGTTTTCATTCACTTTTGAGCGAATTACATTAACCACCCGCGGTCCTCCTGCCTGTGGTTGCTGTGCTGGGGGAGGCGGAGCTGCTGGTGCTTGAGGCAATCTTGCCTGCTCTTCCCTTGTCCTAGCCTCATCGACAAGGTCCCTCAGATGGCCTTGCCTTACCAAGTCTTCTAAGTGTGCTTTTAGGGTTCTACAACCCTGAGTTGGGTGCCCTTCTTCATTGTGGTAAGCACAACGCCTACCGACGTTTCTTCCCATAAATTTCCCTGGTGTTCTTGTCGGTGCTCTGAAATAGGGTTGATTTCGTATTTGATCCAGGACTTTGTGGATCGAGACTCGGAATACAGTCGTCACTGCCTGTTTAGCCCTCAAGTCCGTTTCTTGCTTGATCGGTCCATTGTTACCTCGGCTTCGCTTCGGCGAGCCGTTTCCTTTCTCCTGCTTTGTCTATTTGTTTCCCGACGCATCCTCTTCAGCTCTAGCGTACTTCTCGATTCTCGCCATGAGTTTTTCCATGCTTTTTGGCAATGTCTTTGCCAATGATTTCCGTAGTGGGTAGTCATCTTT